GTAGATTTAATTAAAAAAGACAGTGGAATAGGAATGGGTTATTTAATTCTACTAATGGTTCGTTTGTGTCCTGATTACTAATACAATACTGCTCTGTTATTTAAATATAACAGGAAGGCATTGCCACTGTTAAACTCTGCTTTTAGAGTTTCCACTTGGGCCTGCAGGCTATGCAGTGACATTTTTATGCATTACCACCACCTCCATCTGGACAGAATACTTTCTTTGGGAGGGAGATGGAAGGAAGGTAGGAGGTAGAAAAAAAAATAAAGGGAAGATGGATGACAGGAGGCAGAGAGTGGAGGAGGGAGACACATCAAAGAGGAGAAATTTCTGTGGAAGCTGAGGGGAGATGAGGAAGAAGGTAACTCTCCATCAAACACAGGAGCTTCCTTTGCTCCAAACAGTCCCAGCACAGAGGCTGCATGAAACGAGATACCTTACACTAAACTGGAGTCCAACTGTGCTTCTGGGAGAGTGTGGATGTGTATGTTTGCATGTTTTTATGCGGCTAGGGGCTTGGCCAGTAATTCTGTAAACCAAGATGACTGCGGCTCCTTCCTATTGCAATGCATGATCCAAACCTCCTCCAGAATCACAGGCCCATCATAATAAACATGTGCCATGACATGTGTCATGTGTTTAGTCTGAAACAAATGCTAAATTCCGATCTATTAAAGCTTTGAGTTCTGGCCACAACAAACCAAACTTGAAGAAAGTATGTAGTTTGCACTCAAGCAAATTCTACAGGGCACCATTAAAAGGAAAATTTGCCATCTTAGGAAATACACTTAATTGCTTTTTTGTCAGTATTTAACAAGCTAAGTGTGAAGCTAAAGCAAGAAGCAGATACAAATAAATTCCTCACGGTACTAATATACCATAACCTGAAAATATATAATTCCTCTGGCTGTGTCTGTCACTGGCATAAACAAGGAAATTTAGATTTTTTCCTGTTGCTTGGTAACCCCTTGGCTGCTGGTGATAGCTTCATATTTAAGTGAAAATAACTTTTAATAGTTTTTACAGCTGCAGTAAATGTAAACACAGAAGTGGTGGAGGTTTCAGCAGCTCTGACAAAACGCAGCAGCCGACACGATTTGCACTGGATTATCTGGACATGGTTTTCTGCGGGTAGCCATTTGATGCACAGCTGCAGGAGAGCTGTTGCGGAGCTGTGGTGGCAGCGGGTTGCTGACCCGCGTCCACGCAGAACCACAGACAGCAGCTCGAGCTCTGGCCAGGCCCGCCTGCAGTTCAGCACCGGGGCCAGACACTGCTCATCTGTGTGAAATCACACTAACAAGCTGCTGCACCGGTCAGGCCCCAACTGAAGCTGCTGTGATTGATCGCTGCTCTTCTGATGTGTCCTCAGTCAGACACGTCTGGTACAAGAACTGTGGTTAATGTCAGATGTAAAACATCTGGTTTTATTTATTGGAAATTACATATAACGCAGTTATCTGAGTTTCACCATTAACCCGGCAGATGTTATGACAAGTTGAAGTTATAACATTAGTGTACAAATCTGTGCATTATAGACTATACACCACAGTAAATTGTTAACTGAATGTTACCAACTACTGCAGCCCACGTGATGCTGATCCTGTACATACTGTTTGTGCAGGAATTTTTTTTTATAACAATGGCGTATAATAGAAGCAATAAATCATTTATTGTCAGTGTTTACTGTAATTTTAGCAATGATACGCGCTTAGCCAGGATGCAAACTGGATTAAAATCCTCTCAACTCTTCTGAAATCACTGTAAATCACCATGAGTGGCTTATGACGGAAACACACACAGTGTTGGAGACCCAGGCAAAGTAGATTAAGTTTAGAGCAGTTGAAAACTGAGCGTCTCAGTGCTGCGAAGGTGAGTCGAGATCACCCCGCTGAGCAGAAGCTGGAGCTTGATTGGTTCTGATTAGTGAATAAATCAAACAGGTATCAAATCAAGCTGGGCCAATTGCCTCCCACTCACACCTTGATTAGGTTCATGCACCCAAACACACTGAGTGTTGAGAAACACTCTCCCTCACTAACGCACACATCCACAAGACTACCCTGTAATTGGCAAACTCTCCCTGCTCTATCTACGCCAGCTGTAATTAGTGTGCCAGCAACAATGCTTGTTTGTCAAAAAAAAAACTACAAAACACAAGTGCACGTACACAGCGCTCATCCGATCTCTTTCGCCTCAGCTGACAGCTGACACACACACACACACACACACACACACACACACACACACNCACACACACACACACACACACACACACACACACACACACACCCCTTCCTTGATGCCCGGGGCAGTAAGTTTGTACAAATCTGCTCATCCCTCCGTGAAATCTCGCACATCCTCCCTTGAATTCTGACATGATGTTGGAAATTAATTCATCTCACTATTTTTACTGTTTTAAAATTTACATCAACTGGCACAATAGAGTGCCAGGTCAAATTATTTCTTGCTCGTCGGCCCGGAGGAGAAGACATATGTTGTCTTGCTGCAGTGTTTACAGATTCAGAATTATAACGGGGGAAGATTTAGTCGTCTGAAATGACAACTGTTGATCCCAGATTTGGTTGAGCTGATTTCTGCTTGCTTGTTAATAAAGCCAGCTCCGATAATAATTCATTAGAAACACCATCTATGGCTGAGTTTTGATTTTAAATAAGAATCCTGTGAGAGGGGATTAAATGAGCACCTAATGGCCTCCTTGTAGTGATACTGTCGCTAAGCGCTGAAGCTAAAGCTGCATCCTACATGGAGACATGGAAACAGAGAAGCAGTATTGTTCCTGTACTGTTGAGTAGAGCTAGTAAAGTAAAAGAAGTAAAGCTAAAGTCCTAACATTGTGAATGTGATGAGAAAAACTGATCAGACTGACATTGAACCTAGAAATCACTGGAACTATATAGAAATAAACACCATCCTCATAAAGATATTCACTCATTAATTGTTTGAATGATGGTGTTCATGGTTGAGATGTGGTGACTGCCAAGGCCATAACTAATTAGATTTGTATTATTTTCCTACTCAGCAAACCGCTCAGTGACCCTTGTGCCCTATGGATGGGAGCATTGTCCTTCTTATATAGACCACTTCCATCAGGATGGAAATGAAATGTTTTGTATACTTCATATTGATTTGCGGTGAACCTTCCCTCCAAAGGGGGCAAGTGGACCATGCCAACAAAATCCCCCCTACAGCATAACAGAGGCACAGGGGTCAAGCATTCAGGCCCGTACCGTCCTCTTGGGGTACGTCACTCATGCACTTGCCCACTTCACAAGAACCGAATAACATTTTTCCTGCAGACCAGTGCTTGTGGTTTTTGCACCAGTGAACTCTCAAACATGTGAGATGAGGGTTTGAAGGAGTGCAGCCAGCGATAATATCCCCTCTGTAGCTGATTTTAAACATGCACTGAACTATGGACGTTCTCCGGAGAGGAAGTATGTGAAAACACAAATGTCTGCACTGGACTTTTTGTGAAACTGTTTCCTCCGACTCCGCGAGTAAAATGTCCGAGTGAGGCCATGTGAGAATACAGCAGGAAAATACGTCACGTCCTGTCTGCTGTGTGCTCTACCTAGATGCAACCCCTCGCCTAAATGTTCCCGGACATTTTCCTGTTTTCTTTTAATGTGTCTGGCCTGCACAATCTCCTGCTGCGTTCCTCATATGTGAAAAGGCAAACTCCCGGACTGATGTTACTGTCACATATCACTCTCTATTTGATTCTATTCACCAGGCAGTTTCCAGATGTCACTTCAGTCATTATTCCTGTTGAAACAGCAGCCAGTTGAGCCGTCATTGTGACAGCAGCTCCTGCCATCTGAGCCCCAACAATGAAACCTCTCTTGTCGTCTTCATACAAAATCTGAATCAATTGGGCCTGCTTTGCATTTTCATGCCGCAGAGCATTATTGGATGTTAATTGTTTAATCGTATCCTACAGTGCTCCTGTGTGGGAGCATCTGCATTCCTTCAGTTTCTCCACTCGTTTATTCAGATTTTTCTTTTGTCACCAATCTGTAGCATGAAAGAGCTGATATTAAGCTTCAGCTGCTTGGATACGAGGGGTTTATTAAACCACTACCAGAATTGTAAATCACAGCTAAGTTTTTCAAAGTCAAAGTATCCGTTTCCAGCTTGAAACTGACCTCTTGGTGCTGGAATGAGGGCGCTGGTTGGCGGCCAGCTGCTGCAAGCCGAGCGTGGGGCTGTGGAAGAGGAGGCTGCTGCGACGGAGCAGTTTCTTCTTCATGGCTGCCAGGCTGCTCCACTCCTGAACGAACCTCAGCACCTGCACAGAGGACACGACATCTCACTTTATATTCAATGTTGAAAGCTGAAAACCAAAACGTCTGCGGCCTTCTGCCTATTGCAAATTGATAGTTTGGACACTGGAGCCTCTTTAAAAGCAAAATATTTCTTCACTTTTTCTATTTGGAAAATAGACTTGAACTGCAAACAAACAATCTAAAGCACAAACGCACACCAATACACACGCGGAGAGAGTTTTCCACATAGCTGAACAAAACTCATCAAACCAAGAGAGAGCTGTATATGCTTTCAGCCAAGTCAAGGATTCAAAGAAAATCCACTGGCAAAACAACAAATAGCTCACCAAGCACCAAGGCCTAATGGGCAATTTACCTACGTATATTACATTTGAGAGGTGTCTCTGTCTCTCGCACAAAGATTATTTCAGTGGAGATAAAACTCAGCATGCATTATACAGACACTTTTCAAAGCCAGCCAGGCTTGCTTTGTTGATGGTTTAGCAGTTGAATAATGCATTTTTTTTTTTGTGACAGAAATATAACTTGCTGCTCTTAAAAAGCAAATGTGAAACAGCAGTGGATTTCTAATGGAGAAGGGAGAGGAGACGTTGGAAAAGAAGATGCAAACGATAAAAAGCTTGATTTGATCTGGAGGTCAGAGTGATATGAATGATATTAATTATTATTCTAATCTATGACATATATAGAATAAGAATATGTAAAAAGAGTCAAACATACATAGAGAAATAACTTGTGCTCCACTGTACAGACTACACATTGCTTGAAAACATAACACAACATAGCAGTGTGTGGTTTGTGTTACATTCTAAAAGCAAGAGAGGAGATTACACAACACACTTAAAACTTCTGGTAAAGTTATCTTGACTTATTAACATCATTTTCTCTGCTTAAAAAACTCTTAAAAGCCACTCCAGGAGGAGGTAATATGCTGAATAACTTTTATCTCTACCAGGGTCGAAACGTCACGATTCTACGTTTTGTCACAAAGATCAACTGTTTGTACAGGAAAGCTTTGAGAAACCTCGTCCAGCATGTGCTGGATTTTCTGGAGTCTCCCTGACAGGAAGTAAGGACGGAGAAGCATTAGAGAAATCCTGAGATGGCAACAGTTTCCAGAGGTCACTGAAAGTTTGCACAAAAGTCCAGGAGTTGAATCGGATGTCAAAGGTCCTGACATGAGGAGGAGAGTGGGAGGTGTTTCCATCTTCCTGCCTCTCAAAGGTCAGAGGGGTTAATATGAGAGTGGCACACATTGTGTGGGTGGAAAGTGGTTAGACTTTGATTTCGCACTATGAAGCTGTACAGAGTTGAATGTTAATTCTGCTTTTATCTCCTAAAGGATAAAGGTGGTGATATTCTGTTTGTGCCCCATGAAAAGAACAAACGACGTGTGTGTCCAGAGCCTGATACAAAACATCTTATTCCTGTACAATTTCAAATGTTATTTAGCCACATCAGTGCCCTGTTACCTCATTAAGACCCAATAACATCAGCATTTCTGAGCATAACATAGAGCAAGACTTCAACTTGTACTCCTGTTTGAGTAATCTTTACTCAAAACTGCAGGAAACAGCTTTTTTGGGAAATAGCTGAGGCTATTTGTAAGAAACTGAAACTATAGATTCATGTCCTCAGCAGGAGCAAGCAGGTGTGAAACCTTTACTCTAAAAAAAATGGACGGCTTGTCTCCATTTCCTCGCACCATCTAGAAAGCAAACGTCATCTTGCACATTTGGAAACAAAAAACAAAAAAGTTAATATACCTGTCACGCCTAATTATTTTTCCTTGCTCTTTGTTATCATGCAAATATTGGAAAGAGATGTCACGGTGTCAACGCTCTAAACACGTTAATAAAACACATTTTGTTTCCATTCTTTTCTAGATTTCGATTTCTAAGCACATTAACATATCAGAGTCAGAGCAACGTTTTGACAATTCAGGGAAAACGACCTTCCCAGGAGCACATCAATGCAGCATAGATTGCATTGTTTCATTCCATGTTTTATGAAATATGGATTATTCTGTTATTATTCAATTGCATAATGATTGACCATGACTTTATTTCAATGATGTTTGCTTGAGCGGCCTCAGGCTCAGTGGTTTTCAACGCTGCCACCCAACCCAAGACGTGTTGCTGCTCAGTATTGATTTTGATGGACAATGGGAGTGTAACAGGGCGTAAGTGATGGGTCAGGGGATGGATGCAACTCACGCCTCTGTTCAACAAACCAGCATAAACAACGTGATAGGTGAGGCGTCTGTCAGCGGCACGGCGGATTGCAGGATTTAATAGTTGCTGGTTGGCGTGTGGGGTCGTTTGAGGTGATGAGCCGTCTCCTTTAACGACCCTCATAAAACTGCAGTTTTTCTTTTGCAGGTCTCCTTGGCTGCCCAAACCTCCAAAACGCCCCCTCTACCCCCCCCCCCACTCTACCCATAATTCCTTCAACCCCTCCTCTCTCTCTCTCCCCCTCCAGGCTCTGCAGTGGTGGAGGTGGGCGGCCATACTCCACCTATTTGTCAGGCTCCCGATGCAGAGCTGCTGATCTTCCTCTTCATGATCGGAGGTGTGATTAGATTTTACATGGCAGTGACACACACACACATCTGTTAGGTTTAACAAGCCCATGGCCTCAACTTCACTGGCTCGGAGTGAGACTAATTTATCTTTAAGGTAAATTAAGGTCGTCCTTTAAGCAGCTGAAACTTTCCACTACATTCATGAGCATATTCAGGATTTTCTGTCTTCTTGGAATTGTGTTGATTCATACAGTTGCATTTATCACCTCCACCAACGAAGTGGTGTTTTCAGCGCTATTTGTCTGTTTGTCAGCAGGATAACACAAAATCAGATTTTCTTGAAATGTGGTGGGAGGGAGGGGTGTGCACCGAAGAAGGAACCCATTAAGTTTTGGAGCAGATTTGATCAAAGGCTCATTTATGCTGCTTACATACAAAAAACAATATAACCTATCCCTGCCCTGCATCCTATAAGGTGAGGTTGCGATGTCATACATCTTAAGAAAGATGCAAAAGTGGCCTGTGTGCGTCTGAAGCCCCTCCTCAAAACATCTGACATCATTTCATTCCTATGATCATCTTGCTTGAACGACTGGCTACACTGCCCGCCATGATTTACGGTGGTCCTGCTCTATTTTGTCTGTAAATAGATGTGCGCAAATACGGACGATTAGGATTTTTAGCCTTTTTGTGAATTCTGCAAGAAATAATGGAGAGATAAACAGAATCAGGCAATGTAGACGGCTGATTTCTATGAGTGTGTGTAGTTTGGTGTGTCTGTTAGGGCGTGGTGGAGATTTGCGCTCTTCTTAGTGACAATTTAGTCTCTGTAATCAACCGCAGGAAGAAAAATAGTGGCATGTTTTAGAACCTAGAAGTCAAATCCAGTGTTCTTACAGTAATGGCCCATTAACTGGATGCACCTCCTTCATGTTAACACTCCAAACCACATGAACACCCACACACATTCATGAGAAGCAAAACACACACACACACACACATAAAGCCCGACGGGAAGGACAGACCTGTTCTCGATTTTCCCGGCGCCGTGTGAAGGCCTCGGGCAGGTCGTCCCAGCTGGTTAGTTTGATGTCCAGAGGGATGAAGCTCAAGTTCAGCGCCGTACCATCCTAACAGACGAGGAGACAGGGACGGAGAAGACGGCCTTAAGCAGAGAGATTTGTTACGACTACTGCTACTAACACAACCATCATCGTCTGAGATTTATTCTTGAACGTCTGTGGAGCATTTGACATTTTTCTTTCCACCAAACTAAAACAAGAAACACAAAATGTTGCTGTGAACCTAAGGGGTTGACTCATTTAGAATATATTTATTTATTTATATTAATATTATAATGTAGTTGTGAGCAGATATAAAGACAGTTTCAGTGTTAAATGATACTTTTAACATCTCTTATTAAACCAGTGTAAATGATAATGAAGGACCATATAATAATTAATGACTGAAAGATGAAACATTAGTTTAATTTTCTTCGATTTGAGAGAATTGGCAATATCATTTAGCATTTGTAGATTGGTTAGAAACTAAATGGCACCAGGTAATTTAATACTTCAAACTTAATTTGAGCAGAGCTGATTCGTTGATGGAAAACAAATCTGCAATGAATCTTCAATCGTTTTTTTTTTTTTTTTCAAAATGCCACAAGAAATCACAAATAATGCAAGTGGATAGAAAAGAGGCGCAATAGTTTTGACCGAAATAACTTCATTTGCACAGTAAAGCAGAGAGAGACACCCACAAAGTACACTCTGTGGTTCTTTAAAGCAGTAAAAGTACATAGTGGCGCCATCACACTACACACACAGTCCCTCCATGTTCTTTGGAGGTCCCTGCCTGGCTCCTCATGTTTTCCTGTCCAAACAGTTGGTGAGACGTGGGACGCTGCTGCTGACTCACTGGTGTAATCAAAGCAAACACAAGTACGACCACGCATGTTTCCCTCGTTCAGCATTCTTTCTGAGCGAGTGACGACACAGCAGAGTTATTGTTTCACTCGCCTGACCAAAAATAAAAGTCAGGGTAATATTGAGGTTGTATAACATAGATACAGAATCAGGAGGAGGAATCGATCGCAAACACAACTTTTTTTTTTTTTGCTAACAAATAAATATCAACTCTACGACTCAAACAGGGACAAGAGAAATGATGAGAAATGATAAGGTTCCCTATATTCTGAGCTCATGCTGCAGCTCTTTGCCATTGTCTAATCAATTTCACAGTATATAAATTATACAGTCTATACATAGATAAGTGTGTGATTGTCATAATTAGTTGGAGTGCAATATTGTTTTCTTTGAATCTGTAGTAAAATATTAAGATTAAAAACATGTATAATGGAGTCGTTCGAAGTTTTTGAAATTTTAAAACATCATACAAGATACATTTTACTGACTTTGCTTCACTTTCCAGTGTTTTCACTGATTTATGTGCGAATACCTGCAAAGCTAATAAGTACAGCCTCAGTTATACTTTGTACTATGTTCGTATAACTGTAAAATTTAAATCCACAACATATGTTGGTATGAGAATCAAATTAAGTAAAAGAAGAACTGGTGAAATTGGTTTTAAACACATCGCCGTCCAACAAGTTTCATGGAAATCCTGAAAATCTACCAAACGAACCAGCAGACACACAACGAGCAACCTGGCAGAGGTAATACGTAGTGTGCAGCACATGAGACCTGAAAGTTGGAACATGTAGAACAACAGCAGTCGCTCTATAATTAGAAGCTACATCACCGCTGTTGTTGCCTTTACATGCAACATGGTTCAATGTAGCCACGTTTGTACCAAAGCTACAAGTCTCTTCAGCAAAGCAATCAGATTTTTAATGACTAACTTGCTGAGTCTAATTAAATTCAAGTTCTATAATCTGGACACACTTCATTCTTTATTGGTTGCCATGGTAATTCTTGTGGCAACCAAGGTGCTCGTTGGATGATGATCTCTCTAGTTTCCTCCTCTTGATTCTATTGTGAACACCACTCTGGAGATGATGTTCCTTATTTGACAGTAAATGTGTATTAGTACCAGAAATAATGTAAATTATGAAAGGTATGAAAAAAATCAACTGTGATAATAGATCATCATACTGCAGCGGCTCGGATGCACCTGTAACAAATAAGCAAAGAAGCTATTACAGCTTCATTAGTGCTAACTACTGACAATTTAAAATACACGAGCAGCCACTGACCCACTGTGTAAACGTCTCTCAAACCAAAGTCAAACATTTCACAGAAAAAGAAGCTGACCAGTGAATTTAGGTAAAAGCTACTTTCTGGAAGTCAGGAATGGAAATGGAGGACGAAGAGGAGACAGGAGAGAGGATCAAGTCTGAAAGGTTAATACCTACTGGCAGCCGACACGTGGATTTGGAGATACACATCAACATCAGGAAGTTTTTCCTGTGCTGCACCCTCAGTGCACAGAGGCCCACGTGTTTATTTGGATTATGGTAAAATAAATATCATGGGGAGTCAGGGGAACGGTGGAGCGGGTTGTGCTGCAACAGCACGGAGCAGGATTAAAGCTCTGATGCGACTGAAAGGAGGAATACTACAGTCGACACTACCAGGCTCATGAGTAACAGGTTTAAACATAAGGTGTTATTAAAAATCAGACAACAATAACTTGTCGTGGTTAAACACACAAATGACAATTTTCAAAGACATTTTCAGGAATAATTGATAAAAAAATAATAATGCAAGGTTGTCGTTGTCATTTGTTTGCAGTACAGGGCTCCTGTTGACTATATTCACCAGTAATATTATTTCTCAGGGGTGAATGTTTGCATGTAGCACTTCTCCTCACATTTCCATTTCTTTTTTGACTGCCTGCCACATGTTTACACTCATATGCAAGATCTAGTTAGCGAACATGGGATGCAAGTGAATCGCAGTAATGACTAATGCGATGACTCAAAGCGAAGTGAAAAATGTGTGTGTGTGTGTGTGTGTGTGTGTTTGTGTTTGTGACTGTGTGCTCTTCTTTCCCAGTTTCTGCACAAAACTATCCACTAACTGCTCGTGGCTAACTGAGCGAATAAAGGTGTCCTTATTGGAATATTAACCTTCTACACACATATATTTAAATGTATTGCCCTGATAATGAAGGATTTCTAGTGAGATTTGTCGTAAAAGAAATCATAATGGGAAAAACAAAATATGGGGAGTGACAGCAAAGGATTTCAAATGAAGTAGAACATGTGCTGGTAGTATCCTGATGTGGTAAGCCTCACCCATCTGCTCCTCCCCGTCTTAACATGGAAAACACCACCCGCCTGCTTCAGAGCAGGCAGGGACACTGACTCCTTGAATAAAACAACAATTTGATGTGTAGAAAATGGACATAAAATTCCTAATACTCTCAATATTTCTCATCCAATCCCCAGTGACAAATCTTCCTCTGATTGTGCACTGAGCGGCCCCCTGTGTGAATTCAACGCGCGGTCCAGGATTATCCCGACGTGACAGCTTTCCAGCCAGAATTCCTCCAGTTTATCATTTAAACGACAGCGGGGGACATTTATCTCCGCGGCTTATTGTCTCAGCCACGCGTACACGACACTTGTCTATTGCCATCAGGGTAATATTCCATTGGTGATTCAGTTCAGTGCTTTGGTCTTCTCTATGTAAAACCATCTTGTCTCTTATCTACGTTAGTGGGGAAGGAACCTGATCCCTCATGAATGAAACAAAAGGGTGTTAAGTATCACAATGCGATCGATGCAGAGGTCTGCTGGCAAGTGGCACTCAGGAGCAGTGCCGAGAATGCACAGAAGAGTAGTCATTGTCAGACCAGGGTTAAATTATATGGTTTGGCTCAGCTCGATGACAAAAGCACCCGAAAGAACATTTTACTTGATTATCTGAATGAAATTCCTGAAATCTTCAAACCAAACCCCTCAGCCAGTGACTCAGCAGTTTATTTTAAATAAACTCACTCTGGCTCAGGGCCTTTGTTGCCCCTTGAAAATGTATTAATAAAAGCTTGTACCAGTGATGTAATGCTTACTCCCTCAGTGGTCTGGGATCTTCTGCCGCTGTCACCACAAAACAACAAATTCTAAACAATTCAAAAGGAGATATCCTGAAAATCAAAAGAATGAGACAGCCAACGTAACCCTCGCCGTGACATCATCAGGGATATTTTCTCACACTTGACAAAGCTTCACCAGAACAGACAATGTTACTGTTTTCAGTGGAAACTGTCATGTGACAAGTTAAATTAGCTCGATCATTAATAATTTCAATTATTATTAAAAAATACCAAATATATTGAAGGAAATCATTGGTCTACAGTCTTCCTGAGAGCTGATAAAAACAGGAGAGTTGGAAATGAAAGACAAGAAGAAGTTGGGAGGAGGCTTGACGATCGTTTTGGTAATCCTTTGGTAATTCCTAAACCTTTAACTTGTATTGACTGAGAGAATATTAATGGATTCAAAGAGCTTTTCGTTCGTCTTTTACCACACAGCCCTGATCAATCTCTGAGACAGAAAAAATAAAGAAAAACATCTGAAATGACTCAGACAGCTTTTTGTTCCTGCAGTAGCAGACAGGATTATTAATCAAGGTTATAGAGGTTATTCAGAATCTTTTTAATACAGTGCTAAACCTACACAGCTTGTTCATGTGTGAATTAAACACAGTTGCTTTCAGTGCCAGATTGTATGTGGAATAATTTGCAGGTGTTTTAATCACCTTTATTTTCGTTCATTCTTAAGCTTTGACTTTCTTAATGACGTCTGTGTGTACTTTCTCACATCTGTCCTATTTGCTAATTGGAAACGTGTGACAGAACAGCACGTCTCTTGCTTTTATAACTGTATTGTTGTTCACGGCTCAATCTTGTCGAAGAGATCTTGATCTCTGAGAGACTTCCCTTTCAAAAAAAACAAGGAATTAATTATGTTTTGTTCAGTGTTCAGCTGAATATGACACGAACAAGCTGGCGAGGAACAAAAAAGAGGGTGAGAGGTTTCAAACTCCACCTTCCTGTGCAGTTTTACTTATTCTTATTGCCTTGAGACCTGAAATGATTATTACATCACACACTTCTGACTTTCATTTAGAAAGTAGAAAGAGCTCCTGACACTGCAGAGGATAGCTCTGCACTTTTTTTAATGGCTGCAGGAATATTTAGCTCCAAAACATGTGATATTAAAATAGCATGAATTCAACCAGGCCACAATATGTTACTGCAGCAACAGAGAAAGATTCATGGGTAAAAGGAAGGATAAATTAATGGGAGATGATCACTTTCAAATTCTTCACCACAGCAAGATCGACTTGAATGTCAGTGACGCTACACACAGACCTTGGAGACAGACTTATGTTTGTGCATTACATTTATATTGCCTGGTGCAGCTTTGATATAAGATATAAGTACTATAGTAGGATTGTCTTCTATAACCATACAGCAGGTGCATCTATATCTAAATATTTCTGATAGTGTTTTCCACTGACTAAAGATGTGTATTTTATATTTATAGTTGTAGTCACTGGCAGTCAAACTCGAGTGACAAAGAACATGCATGTTTCACTGCTGCTTAAATTTAAACTTAATTAATGACCTATAACCTTGTGCTGAAGACGACTCTGATGATCTTTCAGGTCTTTTGTTATTCTTTGATGGAAATACCGTTATAGGCAGAAATTACATATTGCATTCGTCATTTTTTATTCACGAAAATCTTTTTTTCTCTTACTTTGGTTTTGACCAAACTGCCACCTACACACACCTACACACCTACACACCTACACACCTACACACACACACACACACACACACACACACACACAC